TGCCTCTTTGTCTGCAGTTAATACGGTACAAGAATGGTGGCGGAGTACCAGAATTCATCCGTTTACTCAACAACAATTAGGTCAAGTTGTAGCTATATCACCAGCGGATTCGAGTTTACAGGAAGGTGACCCAGATCGGCTTGCCAGAAAAAGAAAGAATGATAGAGAATACCGGATGAGATGCAAGGTAAAAATGAACATTATCATCTATCATCACATCTCTTCACCATATTGTTGGGGAGAATGCGGCATCTTTAATTAATTTCATTTGTCTTTTTTATTTTTATTCTTATGACACGATAATCTGCAGGAAAAAGAAAATCGAATGAGGTGCAATCTAGAGACACTTGAGAAAGAAAATAGAGAATTACAACATGAAAATGAATCTCTGAAAGCGGAAAATGGTTTGGTGAATCAAATGTTGCAAACTCAATCCAAGGAACTAGATCAGCTTAGAAATGAAATTGAGAATTTCAAGCTCGAGATTCGAAAGCAAACTGTTCTTGTGCATACGGTGTCTGATCTTCTTGTAAGTCTTTATTGCAATTATCCCTTTTCTTGGAACGACAAAATCATAAAATTATGTAGTATTATAAATTTATAATTAAGATATGTTAATAAATAAGTAAATAGATATAATATAATAAAGGAATAGTCATAAAAAAATCAATTATAGAAACTCAAAATAACACAATATTATTATAAATAATATCATTTTAAGCACTGGTAGGAGATCTGATAAGCTTAGGAATATGTTGGAGAAGGGTTTTAGGTGGGCGGTGGGTGATGGTAAGCAGGTGGGTTTTTGGAGGGAGAATTGGCTTGGGCATAAACCTTTAAAGGATGTATGTCCTAGACTTTTTTAGTTGGCAGTGAATAAGGATGGTAAAATTCATGAGTTGGGGGGGTGGGAGGAAGGTTGCTGGAGATGGAAGTTGGAGTGGAGGAGGCCGAGGTTGGATAGAAAGCTTAGTGAAGAGGAAGTGTTGTTGAATTTGCTGGGTAGTGTGCAGATAAGGGAGGGTAAGGAAGATAAATGGGAGTGGATACATGATGAGGATGGGAATTATGTGGTTAAGAAGGCTTATGTTTTTTTGAGTCTTGGAGGCAGAATTTTGGATGAACAAGATTGTAAGTTGATATGGTGTAAACTTGTTCCTTGAAAAGTTAGTTTTTTTGTTTGGAGATTATGCTTGGATAGGCCTGCTACTAAAGTCAATCTACAGAGAAGGGGGTGATGTGCATGGGGAGGAGTTGTTATGTGGTTTATGTAATGAGCAGGTAGAGGAGAATAGTCATTTATTTTGCACTTGCAGGGAGTCATGGAAGGTGTGGATGATAGTGCTAAAGTGGTGGGGTTTGCAAGGGGTTTTGCCGAATACTGTGAGGGTAATGGTTGAGGTGTTTATGTATGGGTTAGGGAGGACTATTGGAAGGGAAGTGGGTTCTTATATTTTTCTGTTGGTATCTTGGTACCTTTGGTATTGGGGAAATAGATTTGTTATCAAAATGACAAGAGAGATGACTAGCAGGTGTTGGAAGCAATGCAAGTTAAATCCTTTACTTGGATTAAATATAGGGTGTAGGGATGTGTTTTTTCTTTTTATAATTGGCAATCTAATCCAGTTGAATGTGCTTTAGCTGTTAAGAGGAATAAAAGATGCCTCAAACAATTTTTGAAGAGTTTTACACTACGAAAATAATTGGAAAAGGGGATAGCTGCACTTTGTGGGATACATGAGATGTTGCATTTGATTGCCTGGTTTCTAATTTTGGGTGAGTATTATGGTGGGCTTGATTTGTTTAATAGTATGTTAGTAATTTAATTTTATAAATGGGTTGGAGCACTTCTTATACTTTTTATAATAAATTTTTTTATTGATTTTCTAATAAAAATGAATAAATAAATAATATCATTTTGATTTTTGGATTTGATACTACATGCATTTTTCACGTGTTTATGGCAATTTTATTTTAAATTTGTAATCTTGTTTTCTCTGATAATCGTATGTAGGTCTCTTCGTCGGATCTACAGAATGAGCATCAGCAGCTGTTAACAGAGAATTTAGCACTGAGGCAGAACTGGAGCATGAATGCCGACATGTTACAGATTGTAGAGGAGAATGCAAGATTACGACTTGAGAATAGGATACTAGATGCACAAAACAAAGCCTTGTGTGGGAAGATAGTGAGTGACCTTGACAATGATCCAGCTAACCATCCCTTGTGATAACTCATGGGCCACGGCATGGTGCCAAGGTCAATTTAATTTCTTCTTAGCCTTTATATATATATATATATATAT